GCCACAGAGATGATGATGACAAAGTCAATGTCATTGAAAAGTTCACAATATCATGGGGCAGACAGAAACACAAGCAAATAATTGCCACAAGAGGTGATAATCACAAGCCCTAGAATAACTAAGGGGGTGGGTGGCATCTAACCTCCCTGGAGGATTGAAGGTATGTTTCTTAGAGGATGTACAAGTCTTAAGTAAAGAAAGGAAAAGATGAGAAAGGACACTCAGTGATAAATAATTCCCTGTGATAAGGACAAAAGACACAAGACAGAGAGTGTACTTAACTTTTATTTATTCATTTGAAAAATTTCTTTTGAACATAACAAATTTGCCAGGTCTGAAAGTATTTTACTGGGTTAATTATTTTAAGTATCACACAACAACTCTATGGCATTAGAGAGCTTATTATTCTTACTTTATAGGAGAAAACTAAGATCAAAGAGCTTAAGTAATTTTATTTAAGATGACTTATTTCTACTTTTACACAGTTGCAGTGAGCTATATATCTCTAACACTTACTGGCTTCAGTTTCCAAAGAGGAAATATAATTGTCAACAGATATGAAAAAAATGTTCAACATCCCTCATAATCAGGGAAATGCAAATCAAAACCACAATGAGATACCACCTTATACCTGCAAGAATGGCACATATTAAAAAAACTAGCAACAACAAATGTTGATGAAGATGTGGTGAAAAAGGAACTCTCCTACACTGCTGGTAGGAGTGCAAACTAGTCCAACCACTATGGAAAGCTGTGTGGAGGCTCCGTAGACTACTAAAAATGGAATTACAATATGGCTCAGCAAGTCTTCTCCTAGAGAGGTACCCAAAGGACACAAAAACATTAACTCAAATGGATACCTGCACCCTGTGTTATGGCAGCACTATTTATAGACTATTTAAGACTTGGAAACAATCCAATGTCCAAAACCAGATGGTTAGGTCAAGAAAATGTAGTACATATACACAATGAAATACTATTCAGCTAGCAAAAATTACAATTAATGCCATTCACAGCAACATGGATGGAGCTAGAAGGTATTATGCCCAGTGAAATAAGTCAGAAGGAAAAAGAAAAATATCAGATGGTTTCACTTATAGGTGGAATGAGGAACTAAATAAGGTATCAGGGAAAAAAATATTAACAACTTTTAAAAAACGCCCCAAAACAAAAATATACAACTATAAATCAGAGAGAGACATTTTGCAGGGAAGGAGGAAAAGAGGGATTAAAAAGAGGGTGGGAACAGCACAGAGGACTATGGTGATGATGCAAGGGTGAACTGATGGTGGAAATAAAATACTATGAGGACTATACTTGAGAAAGAAAGTAAACACAAAAAAGAAGTTAAAAATGATGCAAAATATGTATTAATTTATTAATTTTTAAAAGATTCTTTGAGTTAAATATCTCATTATCTTAACCTCAGGAAAATAATTTGAGGGCAAATGGATAATTAAATTACTTAGTTGTAATGGGTGTGTAACAGGGTGGTCCTCAGGGAAAGGGGTGGTTGCAGATTCCCTGTCCCACCCAAGGATGGGTGGGGCTGAGCTAGAGAGGAGACTGTGAAAAAGGAAGCAGGATGGAGAGCCAAGTGACCTGGAGGAGGAACATGGAGCAGAGACACATGTGAAGAAGCTGCATTTGTGTTTTGGTCCTGAGCTGGCTGAAACAGACATGGCTAAGAGACCTGTGGGTAAGATAACAATGGTAGCTTTTATCTTGATTTTGATTTTGCTGTTTTCCTCCCAGACTTGTCTGGCTATTTTTGACCTTTATTTGTGGGTTCCTACCAAAAGGTGCTTTAGACTTGTGGTGGGCTTTTGGGCCTTGCTTTGACTAAAGCTTGTTTGGCTGAAAATATACCCATGAGGGGATGAATAACTTTGAGTGTTTGTTTGTAAACTATATTCTTTGCCTTTTCTATATTTCACACTAATCATATTAAAGTTCCTTTCCATTAAAGGTCTTCTATGTTTTGCCTTGATGCGGCAGATGGAATAACCTATCTAGAGCAGGCGGGTTTGGGGGTTCTGGTGTGCCTCCGCCTGCCCTGTAACAGCTATATGATAAAAAGGACAATATTTAAAGACTCCACTTTACAATTCAACTTGACCTTCAGTTTTGTAAGCTCAAAGAAGAATGACTTTAACATTTAAATACAGCCATATAAATGCTACATAGGGATGTCAGAGGAGCCCCCATAGGTACCCCTGAAAAACTTGCCCCACCCTTATGGCAGCCACAGGGCAGACCTCAGGCCAGTCCTGTGGCTCCAACAGTGGCAGTGCTTGACCAGCTTTGTCCCAGTGTGACTCTGATGGCACCATTCAGGTACAGTAGAACTTCCCTGCCCAACTTCATTTGGGGGCCCAAATCAGCCCAGGTCAGGTTTAGAAAAGCTGGTGGAATTTCAGTTTTTGAATACCACACTGAAATTGTCAATGGCCTAAACAGGTTTAAGCTCACACCAGCACCATTCAAGATTTTAAGGCCATTCAGGTATTGTGAACAGATCAATCAGATTTGAGCTCACCCAGTACCAATCAAGTCTTGTAAACAGAGCTGTAATTGTAAATGGATCAATCAGGCTTCAAAGGTGAATATCCTGAAGGGGACATAAGCCAAGGTTTCAGAGGGCTTCAGACAAATTCTTCCAGACTCAGACCATCTACAAACTACAGTCTGACTGCTGCTCCTACTTCCAGCCCTAACTCCAAAATGGACTGCAGACTGGCATACTGGCCTGTACCCAGTGTGTCTGAAAGAGGTGTAATCTGGTTCCTAGTCCCCTGAAACTGCCTATGCTCAGCATCTCTAAGAGCTAGTAACACTGGTGTGTGGTTCTCTAACAACGCTACCTGCTGACCAGTGCTAATGAGTATTGTTAGGCACTGCTAACCTGTGCCTGGCCACTTTGAAGAGCTGTCCACCACTTTTGATCCTCAGGCACCACCTGCTGGGGCTGTTGCATCTGCTACTGCCAAGGTAGGCCTTTGGATTGCTGTTCTGTCTGATCACCTCTAGCTGCCACCCTGAGTTGGACCTGTTCCACTGCTTACCAGGCTCTCTTCAGAGGGACAACACCATCTTGCAAGAGCAGACAGTGAATTGGACTGCTGGACATTGTGGTTACTATACTGGGTAAGACAGCCAGCCATTTGTAGCCTTAGAAACACCATTTTCCCAATTTCTCTATTGTTAGTAAGCCCTGTTACTGTTAAGTCAATCCGAGGCTGTGTTGTATCTTGCAATTGTGAACACAAAGTTAGCACCCAAGATCTGTGAAATCTTCCAGGCTTTGCATGATTTAAAATGAATACCAAATATGTCATGTCTTAAGTAGCAGTATAATACAGAAGAACAAATATGGGTTTTGTAGGCAAACAGACTAAAATTGAAATCTAGACTTATTATACTAACAAAAAAAAGTTAGATAAGCTTTGGCAAAGGAGTGAACACAGTGGCCTTCACTTTCCTTCTCAGTGAAAAAGGAACTTAACAACTACAGTGGGGTTTCTAACAGGAACCTGGTGGTTCTTGGTTCAGGGGTGCAGCAGAGTATCCCTGGCCTCGATGGAGGGCTTCCTTTTGCTCATCAGTGTGAGCTGGACTTGATGGCTAACCCTGGTACAGAGTAGGTTTTGGTTTGAAAAGCTGCAGTTTTGAGACATGGACACCCTCAAAGAGATATAAGCCAAGGCAGCAGAAAGATACACTCTCAAACCTTCATGTCAGACAGTAAGACCTCTGAGTCACTGAGACCTTTGCTTCAGAGTCAAGACACTCTCCTGGGAAGACCTTTACTTCAGATGTTCCAGACCTTCAGCTCCTGCCTTCCATCCTCCAACTGTCACTCTGAAAACATCAATTGCTGCTACCTGACTGACCATTGCTTCTGCCTCTGATTCTGCTTCTACACGGCCTGCTGATAGGTGCTGCTGGCCTGTGCGCAGCACTTTTGAAAAAGCTTTACTCCGGCACTTCCTCTTAAAGAGCTGCTTTATTCTCCACATTGTCACCTGCTAATTGGTGCTAACCAGCACTGCTGACCTGTTTCCAGCCACCTCTTCCAGCCACTTTTGATCCTCTGGCGCTGCTGTCTAACTGCTGCCACTCCAGCCTCTGGCACACCAAAACCATTTCCTGTTGCTCCTGCCCCTGGCACTGACCAGTGGGTCTCCAGAGAGATGACACTGGCTGCTGCAGTGCTACTTCAGCATTGTCATCTGTGACTACCTCCAGCTGCCACCATAAATTGATCCTGGTCTAGGCTCTCATCAAAGAGACACCATCTTACATGAGTAAACTTTGTTTTGGAATACTGGACACTGAAAATATCATCTGGGGTAAGGACAGAGGGCCATTTGTGGCCTTAGTAACTTTCCTTTCTCCCAATGTCCTTATTTCTCTAACCCTTTCTAAATAAATCCTTTGTAAATAAATGCTGAGTCAGAATTGTGTCTTATACTTATAAGCACACAGATAACCACACTGTGTAACCACACTGTGAGATTACCCACAGGTTTGCAGTTTCAGATTCAATTGAGTGATTTATTTAAAGTGCATCATATAGTGCCAGAATAGCATAAAATGGGCACTTGAAAAGCTTTTGTTTGAATAAATACTAATATATATATATATATATATAAAAATATATATATATATATATATAAAATAAAATATATATATCATTTTATTAGTTATTATCACTTATTAGTAACAGTAAGTTACTAATGAAGATGATACTTCAATTTGTGGAGAATTATTTTCAACATTTAATTTTGTTGTTGTTTCTAAGCCTTTAAGCACATTGTAATTGGGTGGAAAAATCTTATCTTTTCTCAACATCCTCTGTCTTTCATGGAGTGGGAAAGCAAGATAGATATCACTGTTGTATTCTATCTCATTCTATTGTTCAGCATTGTCCTGTTTCTGTTTTCTCAGTTATCCCACAGTCTTATGAGCCAGTTTTTCTCTGGCATAGCAAAACTCACCTGAAAATGATATTTGTGTGTGAGCTGATATTTTTGCCTCCATACAAAGTATGGATCCAGGAAGGCCTCGGTCTCACTTGCCACTGTTTAAAACACTCATCAGAAAATTCCTTCAGATTCCATTCGTGAGGTTCAAACATGTCATTGAAACCATCAGAACAAAAGGGCATGACCATTTCTGTGCAGGCCTGAAAAATATACAGGAGAGAATACAATGAAAAAATGAGGCTCATAGAGGTTAAATAAATTGTTTAAGGTTATATAGCTAGCTAGTAAACAGCAAAGTCAGGGTGTGAACTTAGGCAATCTGGTTTCAGAGTCTTGCTCTTTACCTCTATGTCATACTACCTCTTATTCCTGGAAAGGCTTATTTCAGATGTCACAGAAGTTAGGGCTATATCTTCCTCCTTGTAAACTGCTTTCTCTCTATTATACTAAAGTCTCAAAAAAACTCTAGAGGCAAAGTATTATTATTAATTTCATTGTACAAATGAAGGTATAGAGAGATGTAACTTAGACTTCCTTTCTTTTCTGGGTCTATAAAATGTTTCTTTTATAGGGCTTATCAAGTCCTACTGTAATATTAGTTTAGCTGCTTATCTTATTTATCTTTGAATCTTTGGAGGGTACCTGGACATGGTAAATATTCATAGTATTTGGTGATGAATAAACAAGTGAATAAACAAATGAATGAGTAATCTAGCCACAGTGTCAGGGAACAGAGTCCAAATATGGATCAGATTAGGTAACCAAGTCTTATGAACTATGGATTACTATATAAGCGTACCAGTGAAATGCAAGTTCCATGGAAGATTATTCACACTTACCTGATAGCTCCAACCCAGAGAACCCAGACTGCTAGTTGCTGTCTCTGACATATTCAGGCATTTCGCCTGACCTGAATAATTGTAATATATATTCAGAGCTTGGGAAATATTCTGCAGCATCTGTGTATCTGATACACTGGGGTTCTTCAAAAACTGGCACACTACCTGTCATTTAAGAGAGAGGAAAGGAGCAGAGTCAGAATATGAATTAAAAATTATAGTTTAATAAAATGAAATGTTTCTCATTTGATCATAAACAACTTTGATCATCTAATAACAATGCTTGACAATTTCTATCACTTGAATAAAAACTCTTTCATAAATGAATAAACCTTTTAAATTGCTCAGAATATAAAAATAAATCAAAGTCATTTGCATGGCTGCCAAGTCCTTCCCACTTACCATCCTCCCTTCATATTCTCCAGTATTTGTCCATCATAGCAAAACCACATCTACCATACCAAGTTCTTTCCTTCCTACTTGTATTTGCTCTCCTGAAATGCCCTTTTCCCATTTCCTACCCAACTAACACCTGTCACATACCAATTATTTCCCACAATAGTAGTTCAAGTATCATTTTCTTTAATTTGAGATCATCCTTGTTCATGCGTTCAAATCAGAGAAAACTAGATCACTCACTTCCTTTGTGCCTCCACTAAATGTTTAGTGGAGCTAAATGTTACTTTTTCATGAAAAATGTAAAATTTATAAAATTTCTCGTGGAAAACTACACCAAGCTCCAACATCAGTTGTGTGGTCAGAAACATTATCAGGAAGCTCACAGTTCTTAAATATTCCTACCATTAAATTATAATCAGTGTATAAAATTCTAGCACAAAAATCACAGGCAATAAAAACCCTGGGCTGGGAGTCTCTGGGCTAGAAATGAAAGCAGGAACCAACTAAATCAGGGCAGGGAAACTTTCAGGAATATAGAACTATTCCCTACTTTCACAGGGATCTAAGTTATATAGCAAATATACACTTGCATAGAAAATAAGTTTACAGTCCCTGCATGTTACTACACATAAGTGTCACATCAAAAAATAAAATAAATAGTGAACTCTAGTTAATAATGTTAAAGCTTAAGCATTTAGAAGGAAGTATAATGATATTTACAATTTACCTTTAAACATTGTTTAAAATTAAGAAGGAATGAAGGAAAGAGAAATAGTAGATGAACATGTAGGCAGTAAATCAAAGATAGCAAAATATCATTTACAGAATTTAGGTAGTAGGTTTATGGGTATTCACTGCTCAATTATTTCAAATTTTCTATGTTTAAAATGTTTATAATAAAATGTTGGGGGGAATCATAAGCAATAAATCATTAGCTAAATAACTATAGCTACTGATTATTGAGTTCTGGGTTTATAACCATTATATCATTTAGTTCTCAAACAATCCTATTAGATACATCATTTACTGTCCCAAATTTTACATGAAGAAACTGATTTTTTAGGTTAAATCACTTTACTCAAGGTCATGCAGCTATCCAATGGTAGCAAGCGACTGACTTATATTTAACCCCATGTCTCTCTGGCTATGAAATAGTCATATTTCCATAATACTACACAGCTTAGAAAGCATCCACCTGAAACTGCAAAGAGCCCTTGTGGCAAAGAAAACACATTAAGTTTGCTCCTCTATTAACAAAGAGTCAAGTGATATGGTCCCTTTGAATTTCACTAGAAAGGATGTATACAAAAGGCACAGGCATGTTCTGATTTTAAAAAGTAGGGGAAGGGAGCAGGGGAGAAGAGACCAGTTTGAAGAAAGAGCCAGAGAAAAAGTCCTCCTTTTTCAGAGGGAGTTACCCTCCTTCAGAGGGAGATTCCGGGCAGTAAGAACAAGGCCTGAGCTGGTGACATGCTCTTGGCTAGGAGAGAAGGGCACTAAGTAAGGTAAGCAGCTATAGGTAAACCCACTTTCTCATCATAATTCTGCCCAGGACTGCAATATCTTCCTGAAAGATATGAAATAACTACCTAGGAAAAGCCAATACTTCTCCCCAAATGTACTCAGCACAGCAATATTTCTATGGAATGTTAAATAGTACTTTGTGGGAAAAAAGCTTTCATAGTCAAACAATCTTAGGAAATACAACAGCAAATGTAGCCATTTTTTTGACTGCAGGAATCCTCCACAGTCTCAGAGTCTTTAACATTCTTAAATGAAATATGACTTTCCAAAAGGGAGACAGAGTGCGTATTATTCCAATTCATTTTTAGAAGTGCTCAGTGTGAAAAGTTAGAAACTAAGGTTATGTATATCCAATTAATTGGCTCTACTTTTATAAAGTAATTGTGAGGTCATATGAATAAAAATACCAGAGTCTAGGATGTACATAAACAGCTGAGCTACACTGACAGCTTCACAAACCTATGAAATCTAAAGCAATAAGAAAATGCAAATTAAAAGTAAAAAGACAAAACAGTATTTTACTATTGTCAATTAATCATGGCAAGTCAAAAAATTCCTAAAATTTGCACAGCACTTTTCTGGAAAACATCTCTTAATACAGTCTCATGTGTAATTTTTCAAAATATATGTATTTTATTCCCAGATTATCTTTATGTCTTTCTAAGTTTATTTATTTTAGGTAAAACAGAAGGGATCCTGCAGCAATATAAAAGTTAAAAGAAAACTAAAAAATAGGAGAACCAATAAAACTTAAGAATTTACACATAAATGAGCACAATAAATTCACTAAGGTGCTACTCATGACAAGTCCTTTTTTTAAAATTCACTTTCTATTTTCTAGATCAAAGGTGAACATTCAGGCAATATTTTAAAAGACTATGGGAAATGCATTTTATTAAGTCTGGGGTTAAAAGTATAGAAATTGTGGAGAGAGTAAAACATTCCAACTTTAGTACCAAACTAATCAATCAGCTCTGCACCCAAATATTTAGGTTCTGCCCTTTGAACCCACATACACCAGCAAAAATGAAGATAAGGATTTGTTTAAAAGCTTTAAGTGTCCCTCTACCTACCAGGATAGGCATTTGAATAAAAGAAAGAAAAGAAGCAAAGAAAATTTCTTAAAAGAGGAAGGAAAGAAGATAGGTTAAAAAAAAAAAAAGACCAATCGCCTCTCAGAGAATAAGGTCCATCCACATTAGAGAAAGGATTAAGCAGATACATTCAGCTTTTCTAACAGATTTTCTTTCTCTAAGGCTTCAATACCCCTCTCACACTCACTCAGATAATCACATTAGTTTTGTCATTAAAAACTCCCTTTTCATAGAATGCACTTAAACCGCTTAAACCACCCAGAGAGGTTGCATACATTATCAAGCATAAAGACAAATGGAAGAGATTTTTATTTTATGTCTTATTATTTCACTATATCTGCATGTTCAGGAGGCTCAGTCAAAAGATTTGTGATTTATCTGCTAAAAGATGGCTCCAAATAAAATGACTCTACACTGTCCTTAAAAACGGTTTTTTAAGCTGAGAAAGAACCTAGTAGTTTTTATGCTGACAGAGCAGTCAAATGACAGAGAGGTTTCCTATTCTCCCATGTGTTCTCTCAGCCAAATCTATGATAAAAATTCTGCATGAAGGTTGCAGCTTCTGTCAACAGTAAACAAAAGCAAATAGAAACTGAGTGTGCAAAGTTCAAAGATAAATTAAAAAGATCATGAGTTGACAAGGAAAATAGCATTCAGTAGCTGCCTGTGGATCCCAACTATACAAAGTCCAAGTAGAATTGGAAATCATCAGCTATTTTTCATAACCCAACTGTTACATGTTATCTTACCATCCTATGCCTGAGATACAGACTCAGGAGAGGACAGCTGTTTGTCAGCCCTTTAAAAAGGAGGAAGTACATCAGAGGGAGGAGGAGTCTTGGTTAAATGGAACTATCCAAGTGAAAGAATGGTCCCCAACTGGGTAGTGTTCCAGGGATTAGCAGGATGGGAGAACATAGAGGGGGTCAAGAAAGAAAAAAATGGAATGAACAGTGAAAGAAAGTGATCTAAAGCTAAACGTTTGAGACAAAGACATGTAGTGGAAAAATTCTAAAACCAGATAGGAGGAAACTGGAGATAGATGTAGGCAATTAAAGTTTCTCAAGCAAGAAACAGAAAAATAACTTTCGGAAGGGGGCAGGCAGGAAACAAAATCATAAATATTTTTAAAGCAATCAAGAATTCTTTAAATTTTCAAAATTCAAATTATTCAGTAGTCATTCAACTTTTAAGATTTAGATGCAGGGAGAAAAAACCCTAATAGCAAATTACCTTGTTCCATTTGGGATAAAATGTTTTAGAACAAGGTATGAATTTAATAGTTCAAAGGGATAATTAAATGAAAAGTACTTTTGAAATTCCATTCTTTTACTAACAATTTTGTTTACATTCCAGCAATCATTCTAACTATCGCATCAGGAATATTCTCTAAACTATCCAGTTAGATAAACTTGTTTTTAAAACTAAAAACTAATGGAGTTCACAAAGAAATTACTTAAACATACACAACAAGAATTCTGGTATGAAAACAACCTTAAAATTAGAGTGTAATGTGTCTTTACATTTTCCATAATGTTTTCATGTCCAATATTTTACTTGATTCACAGCAAATAAACCCTTCCAAGTATGTAACTATTATCATCTGATTCTGAAGAGGAAGCATGGAGGCTTGCATTAGAAAAATATCTTGCCCAAGATCACGCAACTGGTAAATGGAAGTTCTAGAACAAACCCTAGCAACCTTCAGCATTCAAATTGATGCTCTTTCCTCTCCACCTTGCTGCATGGTCACTCATTTATAATAAGTACAGCACTTAGTATGCTTTAATAGGTAACTGAATTCATTGCTCTATGACAACAGCTGCCATTTATTAAACATTGATTATTTATTATATAACTCTGTGTCTCATATGATAAAGATTAAATTGTGTGTGCAATGTGGACTGCACAGGACTAGGCACACAGCAATTATTTCATTAACAATAACTACTGGTGTTATTTCAAATTCATACAACTCTATAGATTTATGCATTTTATTTCTATTTCCAAATGTGGAAACTGAGGTTCAGTTCATTAACACACTCAAGGTTGAATAGCCAGAAAGTGACAAGACACTATAATTCCAGTCCAATTTTGACTAACTCCAGCTCCCTTAAGTCACTGAAAAAATCAGAATATACACATAAAAAATAAGAAACATACTATTAAAGGTGATGAAAGGATGTTTTCCTGTTACCTTGATAGGCCAAGCAGGCAAAGGCTGTAAAAAGCTAGAGGCATAGGGGTAGTCCACCATTGCAAGATTTACCCAGGTTTCAGAGATCCACTCTTTCAAGCGCTGGATATCCTCAGATTCTATTAATGGGTCACATAAACGAAGGGTTTCTGAAAGCCAATTCAAGCCAGTACCTAAGAATAGAATCACACTGTTGAAATCTAAAAAACACTACTCAGAAGACGACTTTACAGACTGCAGGAGTGCAAAGGAAATTATCCCATGCCCCCTGGATTCTTCTAGGCTGCAAATAAATAAGCATCCTACAGAATGGTAAGAAAAAAAGCAAAAAGAAGTTTGACAATAATATATACACATGTTAATAACATAAATATACTTTCTCCATGTATGCATGGGAGAGACCAGTATGAGTAACTCATCCACATGCCTTTAGGCACCATATTACATATTTGAGCTAAAATAGGACTGTGGTGAGGGTGGGAAATGGGAAGGTTAGGGAGGTATCCAGGGAAGTAAAATACAGTAGATTAAACTACTGCAGATTTTAGTTCTGTCTTCTCCTTACAAAGAGAAACGGAGATCTGGTCTTCTTGAGAGAGGCCATTACAGAGTTAACATATAAATATCAAAAGCAACCTCCTCCCACTCTTCACAGGCTCTTTCAAGAAATAAACCTCCTGCTCAAAAGACATATTTTGAGGTGGCAGGGTTTTGCTCCTGTACAAGATCATTTATTCCTCACTTGTATTTAAGAAAACTCAGTCTGTTAAAGAAGCACTGCAGCTTCAACAGGGAACCTAACTGACTACACCACACAAGTCACCGGGAAAGAGGCCCAAGCTTGGCGAGCTGGGAGCCCCAGGCTCCGCATGTAGCCTGCAGCCAACCTGGTGGGCTCTGAGAGCGGAGGCAGTGCATGCTGCACCACTGAGCCTGAGCTCCAGGCCTTAGACAAGCATCTGGGCTTCATGAGCTTCCAGCACAGCACACCTGGCAGGAGACAGCCACGCCAGCACAGAGGGGGTGGGTCTCACATGCTTTTTGGGGTTTTGCTTTTGAATCCTGTGTCAATTTTGAAAACAAACCAATGAGGTTCTAGATTCCAATACACCAATCAGGTTTAAGCACCCACAAGGGTAATTCAAGGTTTTGAGACCACTCAGGTATTGTAAATATAACAATCAGGTTTGAAAGAGGAGTATTCTAAAAAGGATATAAACAGGTCTTCAGACAGCTTTAGAAACACTCATGTGGACTGTCTCCTGAAAAGATCTTTGGTGCAGACTCCACAGACCTTTGAGACCTTCACAAACCTCTCAGGCCCCCGAAGAATCTGAGACCTTCACAGACCTTCAAGACCTTCACATCAGAACTCCCGCATTGCCTCTGACATTGCCTGCTGCCTGGCACCACTGCCTAATGCCTGGTCTCTCTAAGAGCTATGGCACTAGTGCCTGGGCTTTGGTACCACTTAACACCTCTACAGGCTGTCCACGACATTCTGGCACTGCCTCCTGATGCTGAGCGGCCTAGTCCAGCCTCTAGACGGCTGCTGCTGGCTGCTGTAGTGCCATCTCAGCACCGCCACCTGCAATCACCACCAGCTGCCACCATGAGCTGGTAGAGGGTTCATCACGTATTGGTGTGCCACAAGCTCCAAGCCCTCATCAAAGGGGCAATGCCATCTTCTGTGCAGTTTTTGATTTGGACTGCTGGACACTGTGGACACTGAGGTCAGAGAGTAGACCACTTGTGGTTTTAGAAACTTTCATTTTCTCCAATGTTTCTTTTGCTAATAAACCCCATTGTTGTTGCACCCCAAGCCTGAATCATGTCTTTCAGTTGTAAGAGCAGAGTTAAGAACCCAGAAGCTGTGACATTCCCCAGCTCTGCATGGTTTCAAATCTACTATACCATTTTTCCAAGAATGTTCTTATAACATTCAATAAAATATTTTTAAAGCAATAGGATGATCCCGTGATAGATGAATTGCCTATTCTTGTGGAACTTACTGGATTTAAATTATTTTTAAATTTTTAAATTATTCCCCTTCTAAATACACTACTTAAATAAACAAACAAATGGAATACTAAAGAGTAATGAGAATGAAAGCTGAATAAAATAAACAGATATGAGCAATGAGCACAAAAGACAGTTCATACCAGACAAAAACAGGTTTTACAATTTCAATTACTAAAAAAACAAAAACATGGGTAAACAAATTTAACGTATGGTTCTAAGAGTCAGCAAAGTGACTAGACTGGGAGATGCCAAGGTAGTACTGGAGAGAGCATTAGAAATGGACTTACTGATCTGGATGCTAATCATACTATGGATTCACTTTTAAAAACAAGCTGTATTTTTTGATTTGTATAATGTTTTTGCATGCTATACTCAAATATGCATGTTATAATGAAATGAAAAGTTTACAGAGAAAGTGATATCTTGAATTTAACAAGTGGAACGTTACGTTAAAAACCTGTGATTTCTTTCTCTTATTTACCTGTAGCAGCAATTCGATTAATGGCACCCCAGGACTTGCGGATAGTCTCTGAACAATTTGGGCCACTTTTCCTAAAATCTTTAGTTACAATCTTCATAAATACATCACAAGGCACCAGATCCTCAAACTGCCAGATAGGGGCAGAGGCTGCAAGAGCACTAAATAGTAAGAGAAACAAGAGAAAAAGATGTAACTCAGCAAATTTATGTTTTAACATCGAAACTAATATTGCACATAAATGAGAAATATTGAGATGAATATTGAATGATACTGAAAAATATTAAAATGACATTGAGAACTGATGAAACTCAACAAAAATAAACAACTCCACCAAAAAATGGGCAGAAGAGTTAAAAAGACACTTCTCCAAAGAGGAAATGCAGATGGCCAACAAGCATATGAAAAAATGTTCAACATCACTTGTAATAAGGAAGATGCAAATTAAAACCACAATGAGATACCACCTCACCCCAGTGAGAATGGCACATCTTAAAACAACTAAGAGCAAAAAATGTTGGCGAGGATGTGGAGAAAAAGGAACTCTCCCCTGCACTGCTGGTGGGATTGCAAACTAGTACAACCACTATGGAAAACTGTTTGGAGGTTCCTCAAACTGCTAACATGGGGCTTCCCCACGACTCAGCAATCCCACTTCTAGATATCTACCCAAAAGAAACAAAAACACTGATTTAAAAAGACACCTGCACCTCATGTTTATTGCTGCTTTATTCACAACTGGAAAGACATGGAAATAGCCCAAATGCCCAAAAATGTATGACTGGATTAAAAAGATGTGGTACATATACACAATGGAATATTACGCAACCAAAAAAAAAAGAAACACATGTCTTTTGCAGCAACATGGATGGAACTGGAAAAGATCATGCTTAGTGAAATAAGCCAGAAAGAAAATGAAAAATACCAGATACCTTCTCTCATTAGAGGAATATAACGGAACAGGCAAGAAAATAATGATAATGATGAACAGCTATATACAAGAGACATTTTGTGGTGGTGAAGTGGGGAACAGGATCAAAAATAGTGCCGGTAGGGAAATGCACTGGACTATGGTGATGGTACATGGGTGATCTGGTGATGGGATGCCCAAGGGGATTGCAACTGAGATGGAAAAATGCACAAAATGATGTAAAAATAAACTAGCATATATAAAAAAAATGACATTGAGAAAAGTAACTATTCGTGAGATAGATTGTGAAATTGCAGTACAACAAATGGAGCATCTTTTACTGAAAGCAAATCTCTAACTTTGTCTTGATAATCATTAAGAAGTGCCCATAGCCAATATAAATGTATTTACCCAACCACCATATGAGGATATTTCATCCTGAACCAGGCTGCGAGCATGCCCCCATAAGATCCCCCCAGTGCAATGAAAGGTTGATTTTTAGCTCCTGGGATTGTTCTTCTTAAGTGTTTGATTAAATCTGCAAAATCAGCCAGAGCTTGTTCTGAAGTCAGAAAATTCAGATGTTTTGGATCCTAAAGAAAAATAAAGAACATGAATATAAATATGGACATAATAGCAGCTCAGACATAGCACAGATCCAGTAAAAAAAATTAGCCAGATAAATGTCTTTCCAAAATAATTTCTAGGCAATTGAGTTAATATGTCCAGTCAAAACAATAGCAGTATTGGTTTATACCACTCATGAAAAAGTGATTTTAAGTTTGTGGCAAGAGCATATAATCTGTTTTGCAATCAAATGTCATTTCTATTAAATTCTATTTAACAAAGACCTTGCTGAGATTTTAGAAGCAATTAAACATTTAAATTGGGTACCCTATAGGGAACGGTAAATTAAATCCTATTAAAAAATGAAGAATAATCAGTAAAAATAAAACTGTCCCACAGGGGAGTGGGGGGGGGAAGTGCACAGGACTATGGTGATGTCACATGGGTGACTTGGTGATGGAAACCCACAGGGATTACAATTGAGATGAAAAATATATATACAAAATGATGTAAAAATAAACTTATAAAATAAAAAAACACCCACACATATATATGGTTATATATTGAAAAAAAAGAATTCACTGCAATCACATAAGCTGGGAGTCATTCTAGATTAGTTTTTCTAGTTTATAAAAAAATAAAAAATAAAACTGTCCCTTTTTATTAAAAAAGATGATTATTATATGTAATATACCAATACAGAGCAAATTACCCTGCCACTTATAAACAACTATGAAATTGAGGTTAAAAATGACCCTATGGCACAACTACTTTCAAGCATTGGAAAATAAGATAATGCAAGATTGATCGCTGAAAGAAGGAAAACTCAAACTAAGTTCCACGGTCACTTAGGTCTCTACCTAAGGACAATTTCCTCATTGCAGTATAGGGAAATGGAGCTCAGAGTCCCATTCAGAGCACTACCAATAGTACCAACTTTGAAAAGTAAGTTGTTTCAAGAAAAATATTAATAGTATATGTAGCCAGAATCAAAAGATAGTATACATGAACAACTTAGATGAAGGAAAAGTGTCTGTGGCCAAAGCAAAAGCTCCTAGTGAAAACAAAGCCAGAATCCAAGGAGCTGGCTGGCCTCACTGAACCATTTTTATTTTGATCATTCTATTTTATTGAAAAACACCTTTTTAAGAAAATATTTGAGCGCTCATTATGTTTGTTCCACTAATAGAACCAATAATTTGTAAAACAGAATTAATGACTTTTTTGAAAATTAAAAGTTCCCTCCACTGCCTCTAGCCTTAGCTAAAAATAGATTGATTTTTAAAAAATCTCATTTGTTTAAACTGCATATAAGAAGAAAGTTTAAATACAAATTATTAAAATTTTAGGCAGTTCATGTTAAGCTATCATTTCTTCCTCACAGTGGGACATGTAGATAGAAAATGTTCTAAACTTAAAAAAAAAAAAACTTTTTAATTTAAACGTAAAAAATATATATTTACCGGGCCCTCCCTGGTGGTGCAGCGGGTTAAAGCACTGCACTGAGAGGCTAAAGCCACTTCCGCATGAGTTCGATCCCCGCCTGCCCCGGAGGTGACCACATGGTGTGGCAGACCTCTCCTG